AAACAAGATAGGTCATTTCAACATAAACATTGAAATATGGGTATACTGACAGCTCTGTTACACCATGTAGTTTGGCATTACCAACCCTTCTGAAACATTTTAATGAAAGTATAATTCACAAAATTCACATTTTCACTTACTTCTTAACATCTGTTTTAATCCAACTAGCTCTGTGGGCACGAGCAAAATCTAGTGTTGAAGTAAATATCCATTTAGTTCATGGTTCCCCGGTGAAAATATAGTCTATTCCAAAGCTGGATTTCGACGTACTTTAGCTTTTCAGAAACCGTTGGCCTTCGTCAGTAAGATTATCAACTGTTTCACAAACATATTTGATAGGAAACAGCTAAAATAGTCTCTGAAAGTCTATATTTTTGCTCTTCGACGCGAAAATGGCAACTGGAGAAGAAATGAGCCGCTATTTTTGGTCAGCGTCGACAAATTGCCACCTGTTGCTACGTATACGTTTGATTTGACCACGTAGCTCAGTTGGCAGAGCATTGGACTAGTATCCCAAAGGTCGCGGGTTCGATTCCTACCGTGGCCAAGCTAACTTTTCAGCTTGTCCGGTGTGGATGCACAATTTTATACTTGTAAGCCAGATGGGACGCAAGGGTATTTTCGTGACTCGTGATTAGCAATTATTCGTTCTTCGTGATTTAAAGAAATACTATTCCGTGAATCGTGATTAATACGCGTGCCGTGAATCGTGAAGAGCTAAAAGGGTCTTGAATTTACCAATATTTTACCCTAACTGCTGAATGTTTACGTTTAAAACTCGTCCAAGTTTAATATAAAGGTTAAAAAATGAATAAATTTGCTTCCCACGGTTGTCTTTCTTGAGGTTTCTTCGTTTCATTATAAACGTCGTTGTCGTATACTTTCGTACCTCTTCGTAGACTTCGTGAACCACCGTAAGACGCTCGTAATGCCTCGCAATGATTTCCTTAGTCCTTTAATTAAAAGCTCTAATGTTAAAGTCAGTAAAATGTGTTTGTATTAACATGGATTTCTGCTGTCTAGAAAATCGTTAAATGGTTTCAGACTTTGTTACGCTTCTGTGTTTCTAAAAATAGGTACGCTACTCGTACATGAATCTACGAATAGCAATAAATCGTTGCCCCACCCTACCCAGTAGTCATTGCAATCGGCAACTTTAAAAAGTGAATGGCCGCCAAGCACTAGCTAGTAGCTAGTCTAGAACATAATCAGAAAATAATATATGCGTGCATAAACAGGTCATTGATATACCAGTAATTTGCGCTAAAACGGTTATTCCAGATTAAAATATTTACAATTCTAGATCAAATTGTAGGACGATACTTAGTTGGATTAATCCTTAGTTGCACACTCAACAAATCCATAAAAAGTAAAAACCCACAGTAACAACCCAGTAGTAAAAACCCAGTAGTAAAAACCCACAGTAACTTGTCTTATGCGTGCGCAATCCGAACGCGTTTTTCGCGTGACGAATTGGTTATATAGAGCCAATGCTCCTGCCGTGAAACAAGATAGCCTATTATAAAACACATCAATATACAATTGACTAATAAAGTATTTTCCATTGTTCGTAAATGATATGTTGAAACAGAGACAGGATAAGTATAATATATTGTTAAACGTAAACAAAAATCACGTATAAATACATCACTGTTGCATTTTTATTGTGTCTACATTGAGCGAAATAATATTCGACATGAGCGCAGACTTCATATTGGATCGTATTACATTTAGGAATCCTAACAACAACATCTTGAAGAGTTACGTCCTAAGCAATAAACATCGGCACTCAACGAAAGTGTGCGGTGAGCCGAACTATATTAATATACCGTATTTACTCGTTTGAGCGCCGCGGCGCTTTTTAAATTTTCAGAGCTTCAGATGCGGCGCTCATTCGGGGGCGGCGCTCAATCGGAGGCGGCGCTCTTTAAAAAAATATTTTATTTGCGAATTATAACAAGAAATTTTAACAATAAAATATTATTATTATTATTATTATTATTTAATCTTCTTTAAAAACAACGGTAGCCCTTCAGCATAGATAAGAGCTGTTTTCCAAGGGGCCGTTGCACAATACAAATTTACAAAAAAGTTAGGTTAATAATTACAATTAGTATATAGTTACAAATTACACATTACACATTACACATTACATATTACACAGTACACCACATAATATGATAAGACTTAAGTATTATGTTGAGGTCTGCCCCGAAGCAAGGTTTTAAATGCGTTTAATGACAAGCAATTGCTTTACAGTTCTACTGATAATTCATTCCAAATTTTTACACCTGAATAGCTGATGCTTTTTCTTAAAAAGTTTGTTTTGGGCTCTTCTAATTTATAATCGATATTATTATTTCGTAAATTATAATTGTCATTATTTTTAACGACAAACAAGCTAGATATATTTTCTAAGTATTCACCATTCGTAACTTTATGCATAAATATCGCCTTATTATTACCCAATCTTTCCATCAATGGCTGCCAGCTTAATTCTTCTAATATATCCTTAGATCTGACATCATATGATTTACCAGTTATGACTCTTGCAGCCCTGTTTTGCAGTTTTTGGATTTTTTCGAGCGAATATGCATTTCCTATATCCCAAACAAGGCTGCAATAGTCAAAGTGGGGCAAGATAATTGAATTGTATACAGAAATAAGGGTTGATTGGGGGTACAAAAGCTTTCATTCGTCGAATCATTCCTATGCCTTTTGATACTTTGGTGGCAACCGTATTTATATGTGAATTCCATAATTCAGCTTCATCATCTATTTTGCCTAGTCTCTGTCTGGAGCCAACAATCATGTATTCAGTTTTACTCGTATTAAGTGTTAATTTGTTAGCCAACAACCATTGATGTATATTTTCTAAATCATTATTTAATTTATTATACAACTCAGTTGGTGTGCTAGTGTCATCTGCAAACATGCTGGCTGTTGTTGATTTTAAACAATTTGACAAATCATTCACGTATAGCAGAAATAATATTGGCCCAAGCTTATAGCCTTGTGGTACTCCGCAAGAAACTGTTCGACATTTTGATGTCGTTTGGTTAACTTTACACATCTGTTTTCTATTCGTAAAATATGATTTGAACCAATTTAAAGTATTACCAACACAGCCAAACTTTTTTAATTTTTCTATCAAAATAGCATGGTCCACACAATCAAAGGCCTTTTTTAAGTCAAGAAATATAATGCCATTTAAAAGTCCTTTGTCCATATTTATATACCACTGGTTCGTATTAGTAAGGAGAGAAGTTACAGTCGAACTTCTCTTCCTAAAACCAGCTTGACACTCTGACAGCAACTGATAGGTTTCTAGATATTCCATGAGTTGTCCTGAAACTAGTTTTTCAAATACTTTAGCAACTACAGATATGACAGATATTGGTCTGTAGTTGCTACATTCTGTCTTACTTTCTCCCTTATATATGGGGGATATGCACGCCACCTTTAAATCGTCAGGAAAAATGCAGGTTTCTATCGACTTATTAAAAATAACGGTAAGCGACTCAGCTATAATATCGGCACTATCCTTTAAAAGTTTCGGCGATATTCGATCATGTCCAGTTGCCTTAGAAGTATTAATTTTCGAAATTACGTTTTTGACATTAATTGATGAAAATCTATTAATTTCAAATGATTTATCGGTAGGGACGACATACGTTTCAAATGAATTATTGCCTTTTGGTAGATCTTTAGCCAAAACAGTACCAGTCTCATTAAAATAGGTATTCAAGGAATCGGCTATTTTCTCTGGTTCTGTTACGATTTCTTGGTTGATTATCAATTCATTAATATTTGTCGTCTTAGATTTTGTATTTGTTAATTGATTTATAGTTTTCCACATTGTTTTCGGGTCTTTTCTACACTGGTTCAACGCTTCATTATAATAGTTGGCCTTGGTAGATTTTATCAAACTATTTAATTGATTTCTAGCTTTTTTATATGCATTAAAGAAATGAGTAGATCCAGTTTTGATTGACTTTTTAATAAACAAGGTTTAAATGTCTTTGTCACTAAATGTATCCATTTTGACGGGGGAAAGTTTTTACACTGTTTAGTGCGGCGCTCATTCGGGGGCGGCGCTCGTTAAAAAAATTGATCTCAAATGCGGCGCTTATTCGGGGGCGGCGTTCAATCGGGGGCGGCGCTAAATCGAGTAAATACGGTACGCTCTGTATTTATGCACTTAACATAATCGTTTTATATGAGAAACTAAGCAGAAGTGAGAAATCGGCGCTGCATGATACAGACTTAGAACGCGCAATCAGCTTTATTTATCAAAGTTCAGAGGTCGGCTGTCGCAAAGCATATTGTGGAAATCGTTGAAATATAAGGTCCAACATGAAATCAATGCGAGGAAAATATCGTACTACAAAACATCGATAGCAAAAATCGTGAAAGTGAAATGCTGTTTTTCGTGACTCGTGAAATCTAAAAATGATCTTCGTGATTTCGTGACGAGACCCCCTTGCCCCTCAAGCCAGGAGATCGTCCAGCGTAACAGTTTCTGAATTACGTCAGTGCATATAGCTCTCAACGTCCATACAGACAGGTCACAGGTGTGATACGAAATTCCTGACTTGCGAAATATCTGACTATTGTAGAACTGCCCATGCGCAGACGATGCGCATGAATGACTTTGGCTCATAAATTTCGCAACTCAACAGACCGGACAACACCGTCAACACGTATATTTATAAAGTCATTTTATTTATACATAAATTTTCAAACATCAATTCTACAATTCATCAACTGAATTGACACTATACCACTGATTGTGAACGTTAGCGTTCAGCGATAATAAAGCTTGAATCGCAGATATGGAAAAACTCACTCGAAACATTACCAGAAATATGGGTTATTTTGCTCCCGCTTTAGTTGTCAGCGGCTAAGTCGGTTTTATATGCCTAACATTGCCTAACATAAATAAAGCGACTTCGCATTTTACTTTGAATATCCAATTCAAGTATTATTCAACCAAAAACTGTGATTTTAAACTATATTTTGCAGTTTTTGCTGAGCACTTCCGGCATTTTAACTCTTATCCCCGCAAATTTTTATCAAGACTAAAAATATCGCAAATATCCTAAAAAATCCTAAAATATCCCTGTATTTTTACGTGAGAGAGCCTGGACACAGAATAAGGTACACAGAAGGCCGACTTCTTCGTTTTTCCTTTGATTTTCCTATGATTTTGGCGTAACTCGTGATTCGTCATCAAATGCTGACGCCATGGTCCTAGCTAGTGCGCGTTTGAGAGGCATTCACCCCCTGATAATATTCAAAATGGTGGACGTCCAGGGGGGGGATGCCTCTCAAACGCGCACTGGCTAGGACCATGGCGTCAGCATTTTGATGATGAATCATGGCGTGGCAGCGGTTACTCGAGTCGACCTTCTGTGTACCTTATTCTGTGGCCTGGATCTAGTCTTTCAAAATAAACAAGAAACATGGCTACTCGAAACAGCTCAAATTTGTATTAAAACTTGTCGTTTTTGGATATTAAGATGGCCTAATGGCGACATACAAGAACCGTAAAAAGGCGAACTTTTAAACGTTTCGGGAACTAGTTTCCCTGGAAATTACAGCGATTTATTTAGCTAAATTAACAGTTTGGACATCATTAAATATATCGCGAGCTCGGCACAGTGACTTTGTATCGCCCAAATGGATGTTGGTCTATTCGTCGGATATTTACCTCTTGTGTCACAAGTTTACTATAAATTACACTATGAAATTCATCGAATTGCGAGTAAAAATACAACATTCTCAGGAACCAGCTAGACGCGTGCAATACTAGCGATTTTTGTTTAGAAATATTGCTTGTTCGTGTCGCTACTGTAATCGAACTCGGCAACCATGAAATATTTAAGCAAAGTATATTAAAATTTGACATTTTGATCAACTCCCAGCCTAGTCCCAGGCTCTCTCTCTCTCTATTCGCTGCTTTGATATATTTAAATGAGTCTTAAAAGTTTTATGCCTGGGTGTGCTGTGCGGAACGCTTCAGCGAGAGAACCTAGCAGATTTCGGTAAAGTGGTCCCTGGCCTGGTTACCAAGCATACCGCATTTGTAAATAGAAAATGTTATGGAAATTTCCTTTGCGTTTATAATTAAGTCATTAGTTCTGCTCTAATGCTGTCGGAACAATGAAATAGGCTACGTTTCGCTACCATACGGTCAGAATGGAATAACGGGCTAAATATGACTCGTGTTTACTAAAATATAAAGCCCGGCATATTAAAAGATATCTAGAAGCTTGAAAATTATGCCGAGTCTCCGACTAAAAATGTTTTGACAACACAGTCATATCAGGCAAATATTTCCAATCTCCTCAGCTACTTAAAACTGTCAACTAGAAAGCGTAGTTGTGTATACCAGTATCATGGTCTAGTGTTGATCACAACTTGCGAGTATATAAATATCATCAACGATTATACTATAATTATTATATAATTTTTTAATTGAGCACATTTTTAATAGGCTACAGTTTGAATTTGGTTATGTAGACATCGAACATGATCAACGAACATTGTCGTATTTATACAAGGTTATTTGTATATATAAATTTTCCGTATTAAAAATACTGAAATCTGCTAGGCGTTCTGAAGCACCTTTAGCGGTGACGTCGCACCTAGGTCCCAGTCTCGTACTACATCCACGTTTTTTCTCGCTCTTGCTTCAGAACAACTGGGACTAGGCTGATCAACTCCCATATAGTTTATAGTAAGATTTCGCCGCCATATTTGTTCAAAGTGCGCATGTCCGTCGCCATCTTGTCTCATATTTCTGTTAATGAAGCGCTCTTAGTGATATAAAATAGACTCCATGCAGTTTGAAATATACAATGTGCAATATGCATTAGTCCATAACTATAAGCACCAAAAATCGTTTCGCGTTTGACCTTCTCACAACTTAGTAAGCAGCAACAATGAGTTCGTGAGTTGGCCGTTTAGATTTGGCGATGTCTATATTAGAAACATTTGGTAACCTCGCATATGGACTTAAAAATCGTTTCGACCGACCGGTATATATTTAGCTTGCATCATGTATTTCGCTGTCACCACCACATAATTCGCTTTGAAATTTAAAGTATTTGTGATTGAAACTTAGCGATATCGATTTGAAATGATTAACGAAGTATTAGAAATTAACATCATGATTATTTTATCTAAACTCTAAAAAACAGTTTTGGCCGACTTAGAATTTAGCAAGCGTCATGTATTTCGCGCCTGCATGCGCGAAATTTCTGACCCGTCACGCTTGGTCAGGTATTTCGCAGAGGTCAGGACAATGCGACGCGATTTTTCGATTTTCACTCAACGATAACTTTGATCCTAGTTTAAATTTTCCAAATATTTAGAAGCCTTACAACATTTTGAGTTATTTGGTATACATATCTTTTAAAATTTGTTCTCATTGGCGGTTTTATTAACATTCAAAAAAACACTAAAAAATCGCGTCGCGTTGTTGAATCACGCCCGGTGTGTATGGACTTTCACTCTCAGAATTTCTTCCGTCTTTTATTTGTGGGAAAAAATACTGTGTCTATACGTTTATATACTACAGGGTGTATAAAAAAAACTGAACAGATTTGAAATTGCTCTCAATTTCGCAAAACAGCTATTAGTATCCAGTTTCTTTATGTATATAGCTTCTTTGGGTACTTATGATCTAGAATAATGAAAAAAATTTCTCGAACTCAAAATTTGTGAACCAGGGGGCGGTGTCTTTTTCAACAAACTAAAAATGGTTTGCGCACGAAATTTAAAAGCTTTAATCATATTTTGAGTTAATAGATGGAAAATTTGTTGGGTTTTTAATTACTGTACAAAACTGAGTTTCAGACAATTTGCTTTAGTTTAAGCCCTTTAACTATTCACGCAAACTTACATTTTTTCCTAAAAATCAGCTATTTGCATGCTTAATTAATGCCTTTGCCTAATTTGCATATGTCAGCAATATGCAAATGAGGTAAAGGCATTAATTAAGCATGGGAAAGGCTGATTTTTTAGGACAAAATGAATATCTAAAGGGCTTAAACTAAAGCAAATTGTCTGAAGTTTTGTACAGTAATTAAAAACCCAACAAATGTTCCATCTATTAACTCTGATCTAATATGATCAAAGCTTTTAAATTTCGTGCGCAAGCCATATTTAGTTTGATGGAAAAGACACACACCCCTGGTTCACAAAATTTGAGCTTGAGAAATTTTTTTCATTATTCTACATTAGAAGTACCTAAAGAAGCTATATACATAAAAAATTAGATACTAATAGCTGTTTTGCGAAATTGAGAGCAATTTAAAATCTGTTCAGTTTTTTTTATACACCCTGTGGAACAGGAACAGACGACCTATATAAATGTCTTGGTGTTCGAGGTTTATAAGACAAAAATTCGGCTAACTTCATTATCCAAAATAAATAAATTAGACAGCTCTTCTGTATATTGTAGTATACCAAATACAAGCCGGAAGAACTCGGAAGAACTGTCCTATATAGTTATTTAACAC